AGGCTTAAAGGCATGCATCACCATGCAAAGCTTTGAATTAATAAAAAAAAATAGTAGGGCTAGGACGATGGCTCTGTGGGGAAAGCACTTACTGTGTAAGTATGGGAAGCACAGTTCAGATCCCCAGGGCCCATGGAAAGAGCTCGGCAGGTCAGTGGCCTAGCTGTGAGCCCATCACAGAGAAGACATCCCACACTGTGATGTCCTCGCCAAAGCAAGCCTCAGTCAATAAAGTAGAGAACAATCAAGTAAGATAGCCAGTATCAATCTCTGGTCCACATATGTGTACATGTGCATGTTCACTCCCTATGTACACACCCCCACACATACACATATGCAAAATAGTTTAAAAACTATCAGACAAAAATGCCAGACATACCTTACTCATGGGCAGGAAGATCACAGGTTTGAGGTCACCCTGGGCTACACATTGAGACTCTATCTCAAAAACAAAAACAAAAAAACAAAAAACAAAACCACAAATGATAAAAAGCCCAAACAACAAAAATTAAAAGCCCAATATTCAATCAATGTAATCTAGCATATCTATTAAGCTAATGAAGAAAAATGATATAATCGTATACTTAAAAAAATTCAGCACTCAGTTATGGTTAAAAAATTAAGCAAACTATGAATAGATAGATGGGTACTTTCTCACCTTGATACAGAATATCTCCCCAAACCTTGCTAGCATCACATTTACTGGTGAAAGATGAAATGTTTCCCCCTAAGATCTATCCCAACAAAGGTGTCTACTCTTATCACTTTCAGTCAATATAACTCAAATGCTGCCAATCAAGCAGGAAAAGGAATAAAAATCATATGATTGGAAAGGAGATAAAACAATTTCCATTTCCAAACAACACAAGTTTCTTTCTTTTTTTTACAATTACATTTATTGTTAGCAAGTGCCTTACTCACTGAGCCATTTTACAAGTCCAATAACATAATTTTTTATAGAGAAATTTCCAAAGTACCTGCCAAAAGACTCATAGAACCAATAATTGAGTTCGGTAGGTCACAGGATATTAAGATCAACACACAAACATCAATTGCATTTCTATGTTATACTGACAGTGAACAATCAACAAAATGCCAATGAGGAGTATAACTAAATGGAAAGATGGAGATCATCATGCTAAAGGGTTAGAAGAGAATGTTGGGAAGATGTCAGTTCTTCCCAAAAAGATATATAGGTTTGATGCCATTTCTCTTACAATTCCATCAAGGTTTTTATAAATGCAAAGTAAGTTCATTACAGAATTTATAGGAAAAGTCAAATTACCAGCCAAGTGTGGTGCCGCAGGCCTTTAATCCCAGCACTTGGGAGGCAGAGGCAGGCAGATTTCTATTGAGTTTGAGGCCAGCTGGTCTACAAAGGGAGTTCCAGGACAGTCAGTGCTACATGTCTTAAAACCCACAAACAAACAAAAAACAACAAAGACAAAATAACTTGGATAGCAAGAATAATTTTGAAAAAGAATAAAGTGGGAGGGATTGCTCTATCTACTTATTCTATCACAATTAAACTAGTATTCCCAGGAGAGACACATAGATTAATAGAGCCAAGAAATGGCCCCATACAGATGGCCCAATTGACTTTGACAGAGATACGAAAGCAATTTAATGAAGCAAAGACAGTCATTTTATTCGAGTCATCGACTGTTTATGGCAAAATTAAAAATCTCTGTCTTAGGTCCAAGTTTTTAACAAAAAATTAATTCAAAGGGAACTACTGACTTAAAACATAAAACTATACTACTTCTTAGAGGAAACACGAGAGAAGGCAAATGGGATGAGGTGAAGATTTCTTAGGTATGACACCAAAAGCACTATATGTAACCGCAAAACTGGATAAGCTGAAGCCCTCCAAAAAGAGTTTGCAAAATCTCATGTTAAACAAATGAAAAGATGAGCTGCAGAATGGGAAAATTATTTTCTGATCATATACATATCTGACAGAGGACTTATATTTAGAATATATAATAACTCTCCAAATTTACTAGTAAGTAATAATCAAATTAGAAAATATCCAAAAGGCATAAGCAGACACATCACCAAAGAGATGGCAACTAAAGACATGCAAGGGAGTTCAACATTGTTGGCCACTAGGGAAAGCCAATTTAAAATGAGCTATCAGCATAGGAAGGCGAAAACAGAAATAGTGACTATTTCAAACAAATACTAAGGAAGAGTAAAGAAGAAACTGATCTCCTCTGTACGGCAATTAGGAAAACAAGATGGGCCAACTGGTCTGGAAATGTGGCCATTTCTTACAACACTCAGGACACACTTAGCATCTGACCATCAACTGCACTTACAGTTATTATTATTATTATTTGTTAGTTTTTGTTTTTCTAGACAGGGTTTCTCTGTGTAGCTTTGGAGCCTGTCCTGGAACTCACTCTGTAGACCAGGCTGGCCTCGAACTCACAGAGATCCACCTGCCTCTGCCTCCCCAGTGCTGAGATTAAAGGCGTGCGCCACCACCGCCCAGCTGCACTTATAGTTACTTGATGTAAGAAAATGAAACTGTTCTCACAAAAATCTCTATAAGACTGTTTACGGCACTGCTATTCTTTTTTTGAAAAATTTTATTACACCTATTTGTGTGTGTGTCCTATGTGTGAACATCAGAGGATAATTTTCAGGACTCAGGGCGTTCTTTCTTTTCAACTTTTGGATCCCAGGGGTAAAAAAAAAAAGTCATCAGGCTTGGTGGCTATGCTTTTACCTACTGAGCCGTCCCCATGGCCCAGCAGTTGTATTCTTTTTTTTTTTAATTTTAGAAATATTTATTTATTTATTATGTATACAATATTCTGTCTGTGTGTATGTCTGCAGGCCAGAAGAGGGCACCAGACCTCATTACAGATGGTTGTGAGCCACCATGTGGTTGCTGGGAATTGAACTCAGGACCTCTGGAAGAGCAGGCAATGCTCTTAACCGCTGAGCCATCTCTCCAGCCCAGCAGTTGTATTCTTAACGGGCAAAGTTGGAAGCAGTCCCAATGTCCTTGAATGCATGAACTGTGGTATAGCCACACTGTAGATTATCACTCAGCAATAAAAACAGTGATGAATGTTAAAGAAATTGTGCTGAGGGAAAAAAAACCCACAGATTTCAAAATGTATGATTCTATTTATATAATATGTTTGAAGTAACAAATTTAGAGGGATGGCGTGGTGAACATATTAGGAGTTGCCAGGAATTATGTTAAGAAAAGGAGGTGATTGATGATAAGGCATATCAGGGAGACTCTTTGCTTTGAGATGGTTGTCTTGGTCACAGGAATCCACATAGGTGGAAAAATTGTGGAGAACTTAAATTTTCAGATTGAGAAATGGATGCTTGCTAAGTTGATGAGATCCGAATGAGCTTTATGGATTGGACTAGTGTCCCTATCTTGCTTTTGATATAGTTATGTTAGACTACTATTGGGAGAAAAGTCTGAGAGGTACTTACAGGGTTTCATGAGACCCTTCTAACATGTTTACATCTCCCTGTGGAATTTTATTTTAAAATAAATCAAGTATAACAGTAAATGTGAAGGATTATGAATATTTTTCCAGACATTTGCATATAATGAAGAATTAAATCTACAGTATGCAAAGTAGACAAAATACAAACATCTACATTGTTTATCTTAGAAATATAAGTGAAAATGACTATGAGTTTATCATAATCATGATGTATTTTCAATTCTAGAAAGGTAAATAGTAAGTTGCTTGCAAACTTCTGTATTTATCAGAATTCAAAGGGTCAGAATCATTAGTAAATTATATACACTTATTTTATATATTAATAATATATGTCATTTCCCACTTATTCATTAGAAGCTATTGTCTTCTTTAATTGTAATACTGGTTAATAAAACAAAAGCTGTAGGGCAGGCAACCAGGAAGATAAGATCAGGAAGCTGGAACCCAGGGGCACAGACTAAAGCAGGCGTCCCTGGGTGAACTTTTTAAACTCTCCGTCCAATCCTCTCTGTCTCAGGAAAAACTCAGCCCTGGTTTAAAGGATTTTTCTAAAGAATTCTGACAGGCCACCTACACTATACGAGAAAATAATCCCCACTTTTAAGTCAACCGGCCTTTAATTATATTTCAAAATACCTCCACAGCAACACCTGTATGGAGGTTTGAATAACTGGGAGCTGTAGGCTAGCTACATAGACATCAGAAGTTAAAAAAAAAGAAAAGCAGCCGACACCTTCATAAAACATGTTTGCTTGCAACTGGATAAATGTGTTGTCAATTGTCTCCTTGCCTTTATTATTTTTCCATATTTCAAGCAGAAATGACACAAATCAATGGTGGTCACCGAGTTTATACACAGAACTTGAAGTTGAAGCGGGGACTTGAAAAGCTAAGTCTGGCCGGTGATAGAGCCAGTGCACCTCGCCCTTTCTAGCGCCTAGCGGGGCTGGGACTCCTCAGGGCAGCAGCGCGCGCAGCAGGAGGGGAGGAGAACCCACCTGAAGCACCGCGCCGCGCGTGCGGGAGCCCAAAGTGGGCGGAGCCTCGAAGCCGGTGGCGTTGGCGACGGCGCCCAGCCCGCCAGAAGAGCGCGCGCCGAGCAGACGGCGGGGAGTCGGTCGGGTAGGGCGAGCGCAGCCGGCGGTGGCGGGGGGGGGGGGGGGGGGGGAGTGGCGGTGGTGAGGAAGGAAAGGGAAGAGGCGGAGCGTGGGAGCGCACAGTGTCAGGAATACAATAGTGCTCCGCGCCTCCTCGGCCGCCGCCGCCCAGCAGCCTGCCCAGGGCTGAGGCCTGACGGGCCAGGCGGCCCGGGCGGAGGGCGGGAGCACAGCGCTAGGGGGCGGCCCCCGTGGCGGCTGGGAGGTCCGGGCGGGAGGGCGGGGTGAGGAGGAGATTAGGGGGCAGGTGCGAGGGAGGGAAGAGAAGAAAGCGGGCGGCTAGGGGGCGGTTACCACCCTAGCCGGACTCGCCCGGCACGTTGAGGGGCCCCTGAGTGCGGCAGGAAAGGAGCGGAGCCCGAAGCGGCGCCGAAGGTAGGCGCTCCCGAGGGTCACCGCGGCAGCGGCAGCGAGGTTGTGGGCGTAGTGCGGCTTTGGCGGCGGGAGAGGTGGCCTCGAGGAGTGGGACGAGGGCGGCGTGGAGCTAGGGGTCCCGGCCTCGCCGCGCTGGGGGGAGCTCCAGTTCCACGAAGCGGTTGCCTCCGGTGTCCCCCGAGAGCCGTGGAGCGGAGAGCTTGTGTGGGCTGAGGTAAAGTGCCCAGTCGCCCCTCTGCTGGTGGCGCGCTGTGCCTGGTGGCCCGAGCTGGGGGGGGGGGCGGGGGGGGGCGGACACGGACACGCGAGCTCGGCTGCAGCCTCCGGGCCACCTCGGAAGGCGTTGAGCGCCATAACTGTGGCGGCCGTTGCCTTCAGACTCCCCTCCCGGCGCCCCTTGCCGTGCCTGTTCTGTGCTCTCGGGACTCGTGGGGACCAGACCTCGGGGCTAGAGGGCATGCTCTTTCTGCCGCCTGCGGCTGGCCAGTCCTAGCAGCGAGAGGGCGCACCCTGGCTGGTTGAGCCTTGCCGAGCGGGAAGACACCGAGTGTCTGGAGCGGGGAAGCCCGGCAGTGCAGGGAGCAACCAGGCACCCCGAGAGCCCAAATGCCAAGCTAGCGGGAGCGCGGGCGCCCTGCGGGCTGGCGGACGGCGAACTTTCCTTTCTGCCGTCATTGTTAGGACCCTGTGAGTGTTCGCAGCAGCCTAGCGCCCTGCGGTCCTGGAGGTGGGAAAATCGCCCATTACGGGGAGGTTTTTCTGCCACCGGGCATGGTACAGTTGTTAACTTTTTTCCAGCTCTCGAATTCGTTTTTTATGACCTCCTCTGAAGGGGCCACATTTATATGTTTGTTTGTTTGTTTGTTTGTTTAATCTTCCCATCTTTTCCCCTGCGTTTCGGAGCAGAGCCTTGGCTTTGGTGGAGACTGGCACCCTGCGTTCATTATTTGTCAGGAAGAAAGTGGAGTGGCATCTCAAGTGAGTGTCGACCCTCACCCACCTTGTGAAGACGTGCTTAACAGTTCATCTCTGTGCAGCCCTAGGACTTGTCACTTGTAGGGATTTGGCAAGAAACTTGTTTGGCTGCTCCATTGGCCTAAGGTACAAGGACATACATGTCCTGAGATGTGTGTCGACCCTCACCCACCTTGTGAAGTTGAGGATGAGACCCCCACCCTCTGTCCTCCACAGATGGTATAAGAAATCAAAACCTTAGTGACAGTAATTCCAGTGACCTAGAGGGAAAAGAGACCTCATTCCCTGCATTCAGTCAGATAAAGATAGCTGCTACTCTCTAAACTCGGAAAAGTAATGAAAAAAAAAAAAATAGGTAAAAACTGGTTACACCACATCGTTGCCTAGTTCGTGCTAACCAGAATCCACTTTCCCAGCGTACTTCTTAAATACCTTGCCTGCAGCCACTTCTTGTCTGCCCTGGGGGTTGGAGAATGGGGGTGGGGAAAAGAGCATATTTTTCTGTTTAACATTAAGAGTGTCCTACTTCCATAATTATCATTTTCTTTTCGATTTAAGGTGAGCTCTGAGTTTAAATACTTGAATTATTAGAGGATAAATTCTCACTCAAGGATTACAGAAGTTGGAGGAATGCTGATCATATTAAGTTGGGGAGTGCACAGTTCATATTCAATTCCCAACATTGGGAACCATCATTGCCACCTTTCTTTCACTTCTGTTCACTAGAGAAGAGCTCTTATTCCAATACTGTCACCTTAAAAGAGTTTCTCACATTTTTTAGCCAGTTAGTTCTGGAATAATATAGGTTACAGTGTTCTAATTCCAGAATCCATACTTAGTTTTCTCTTTATTGAATCAGACCATGGCAGTGTGGTATATGATTCTTGTCCAAAGTGAAGGAGCCAGGAATGACTTGGAAATAGCTTTCAAGGCACTTGTAAACCACTTTCTGGCTTATAGGGGAGAGTCCCAGGACCATCACAACTGATGATTCTGGGGCAGTTATTACACCCAAGACATATGAGTTAGTGAAAGCTAAAGTACAAGAATGTCAGATTTAGTATGGCCATCTACTTTAGTAATGCTTGCCTTTCCTCTCTGTTGTGTTCTACCAACCATAGCAAATGTTTGTCCTCTAAGCTATACAAAGCCATCTCTTCTTTTTTTACTTTGAGGTCTAAATGAAACTAATCACATATTTTGGTGCTGGTGAGGAAATCAGAAGACATCAGGTGTTTGTGTAGATGTGACATTAGAGAGCTCTTAGAAGCTTTGATAGGAATGCAGAGAGAGAGGCTAAAATGAGGTTGAATATTATTATGGGACATAATGTACCTACCTCTCCATGGAGCTTATAAAAAGTAGGAACTGAAGAAGATAGAATTGATAGTCTGACTTATATTAAGAAAATCTCTCATTGGGATAATTTACTGTGATCTTTGCTTGCCTCACTTTTTTAGGTGAGAGGTGGGTGTTGGGTGATACCCATCTGGCACTATCCTAACCATAATTTTTGGTGTTGAAAATTGAAACCAGAGTCTTGCACATACTCAGCAAACATTCTACTACTGAGCTACCTACCCCTTACCTTGATACCCTTATAAAGTGGGGACATTTGGCTCATTCATAAGTTATATTGTTCTGGTTACTGTGGATGAGAAAGCTAAAGCATTCTCAGCTTTATAAAGGTTTTCAGGGTGGGGAGAATCTAGGATGGGTGGTTTAGAAGTGCTGAATGAATAAGAAGATGCTAGCAGGTGATCATTATAGACCAAGTAACTACTGCTTTAAATTTTCTGGTTTTGTGACTCCCCCATGGTTATTGTTTTCTCCTTTCTGTAGGGCTATCCATAGACAACAGAAGCAAGGATCCTACAATCAAAAGGGCTTCTGTGCTTAGTCTTTGGAAAAAACTTACATGATCTAATTTTCCAGACTTGGGAAAGGAAAGGTAAGAACTCAAAATGCTGTTTTTCTGAACATGAGGGCATGTCCTTGTGGGTACTGGGTGGTTCTGATATGCCCTGAAGAAAAAAGATCTGTCAAGGGAGAGTTAGTTATACTGGGACTTTGGCAAATAGAAGGCATCTATGATATCATAAGTACCCTTCAAGCTACAAATAATTTTTCCACTCCAACTCATAAGCCACGGCTATGCCCCACTACCCATAAAGGTCATTTTCTTCTGATACCTGCTGATAGGCAACAAAAAAAAAAGCCCACAAACCTAAGCTAGTGTCGCTTTTTTGTTAGTTTGAGACAGGGCTTACTGTGTAGCCCAGACTGGCTTTCCTACTCATGATCCTCCTGCCTCAGCCTCCTGAGTGCTGAGATTATAAAGTATGGGCTACTATGGTTGGCTAGAATGTTGTTTTTGGACTAGCTAACAAGAAAATGTGATATCAGCTTGACTTATACACTGAACCCTTTGTGCTGAAATCTCCTGGGAAACTTGCTGGTATTAGATTTTGAAAACTTAATTTTTGATAAAATATTATAATTTTAAAAATGTTGCAAGATTGGTACAAAAACTCACTGTATTCCCTTTATCCAAGGTCACTAGTTATCAGCTGTTTGCCTTCATTTGCTCTTTCTGTTTCTTTTTACAAATCATTTGAGGTAACCACTGAAAGAGTGGTACTTGTCAAGGCCATCCTGTCGTGAAGAGTGTCTCAGAGGCAACCATTGGTATAGCAGAACATTGGTGGTGGGGCAGGGCCCCAGAGGTAAAGTCTCACTGTAGCTACCAATCATATGTTTGTAAACCAAGTTTAATCTCTGATACTAGATAGAGAAATCATAACCAATGGTAAAAGTATTTAAGATATCCTCTCCCTTTCACTGTTCTTGTTGTGTGTTTCCCTATGTCAAATTTTAGTACTATGAAAACTCTCAACTTTGTGGTCATTAATATAATTTCCACTTAATTCATTCAGCAAACATAGTTTTTTCTATTTGCTAGAGCTAAAAAGGGAGAAATATACTCATCCCCTTAAGTAAGAGCTTAATGTCCAGTGGAAAGAATTTGAGGAATCTTTTCAGCAGTTAGGAGGAGGAATGTTCTGCTGATGGGAACAGAGGCCTGGTTAAGGATCTGAAGAGTAGATAATAGATATCTGGGAGTCACTTAACAGTATGTTAACTGTACATATCCATCTTTAAGGCCTTCTGCTCTTAGATGACAAAGTCCATGAGTTAGGGAATCCTTTGATGTCATATATCCACTACAGGCAATGGAATCAGGCAAACTTGGACTCATATTCTGCTCTTCCACTTGATCTTGGCTAGTTTACTTCTCTGTGCTTCAGTTTCTTCATGTGCCAAATCATATCTTTGAGGATGGTGGTGAGAATTTAGTTGAAGTAATATTTGCTCTGTAACCTCTTATTTCATCTTCCCTTACTCCCTAAAATGCTGTTTGTTGGAAATAACATTTAAAGTGTTAGGTATTAAGGTAGGATCCAAGGAACTATTTTTTTTCAACAGATAATATCTGACTACTAGTTCTAGGAAAGACAATGGCGATTACCTTATGGAATAATAAAAATAATAGCAACAGAGATTTGGTAACAATTTTCTTTATGTTGAGCACTGGATAGCTCTCTGAGCAGAGCATATCTCAGACATGTGAATCTTAAAATGGTGAAACAGAGCCAACTTGCAAAAGGTCACACAGCGAGAAAAAGATAGAATTAATTTTTCTGTGACTGAAACCAGTGGAGTGCCCTTGGAGCCTCGAGAATGAATAAATAAGGTAGAGAGAAGAGATTGCCAGGCAGAGGAAATAGCAGTTGTTGTGACAGCGTTGAAGTGGGAAAGAGGAATAAAGGGTTCACACAGGTTTGGTTGGATCTGGGAAAAAAGGTAAGCAGAAAATTGACAGGCTTTGTGGAATTTCATTAAAGAGCTTGTGCTTTATTTCAAAGACAGGCAGATGCTTCTTAAAGGTATTAAACTTTTCCTAAATGGCATGTGTGTGTACTTCAGAAAAGTATCCAATGGTGCTTAAAAGAACTTTAAGTCATTTCCTCAGTGTTCCACCTTTCATTCCAACAGAGGTGATATTTCTATATAAACTTCCACCAAAATGTTGATAGATGACTTTTACTATCTTCTGTGAGTATTGGTAAGAGATGCCATGATGCTAGAAGATGCCACTTAAGAATGCTGGTAGAAAAGGTTTTTTTTGTTTTTTGTTTTTTTTTTTTTAGATTTATTTATTCTGTATACAACTTTCTGCCTCCATGTATACCCACACGCCAGAGGAGGGCGCCAGATCTCTTTACAGATGGTTTGGAGCCACCATGTGGTTGCTGGGAATTGAACTCAGGACCTCTAGAAGAGCAGACAGTGCTCTTAACCACTGAGCCATCTCTCCAGCCCCAGAAAAAGGTTTAATTAGGTTCATATCTCTTGCATTTTAGGCTTCATTAAGGGAAATTGTTCAGTTTTCATTAAGCCTGCAAAATAGATAAACAGTTGGAATTAAGAGGAAAAGTAATTTCTGGAATTCTGGATTTATCATTACAAGTAGAACTGTTGAGTGTAAGGCTTTGTTTTAAATATATCATAATTAAGATACTTCTGTGACTAAATGGAAATTTGTCATTTTTTTAATTTTGTGTGTGTGCCATCTGTGATGGCAGACAGCACATTTGTGAGACTTTGGAAGACTGAAACATTTTTTTCTATAATATTTTTTCATATTTTCATTCAGCTGGTGGAAGTTTTTATATTTGAAACTTTATGTATAGTGTAAACCTCTTCCTCTTGCTGTATGTGTTGGATCACATACTTTTATGTAGCCTGTTCTAGTTAGATTTTAGGAATAAGAGAAAGTGCTTAGTTAGTGGCTTGATGATTTAGGGTGGCCTTGCATAGACAACTAGTGTTTGGTAGACTAGTTGCTTTGGTAGGAGGCCCTAAGCTTGGATGGCTCATCACTCCATGTGGTAGTCTCTTCTAAGTGGCTAGTCTGGACTTATTAGTGTAGTAGTCTCCAAGTCTCAAAAGAGAGAAGCAAGTAAAAGCAAGCACCAGCCAGTACACAAGTACTTTTTTCAAGTGTCTGCTCCTGTCACATTTGCTGTTATTACATTGGTAAATCACAAGAGTGCTTTCGTGACCAAGTCCAGATACATTGTGGGAGACCATTCAAAAAGTGGATATAAGGAACTGTGAACAAATTGGGAACCTTTACAGCAATTATACATAATTGGTAATGAGTGAAAAGCTAGAGGGAGGTAGTGTGGTTTTGGAAGGACATATGCACACAAATGGGTCAACCGCTCTCTCATCTTAAACAACTATTATCAAAGGAACTCCTGGGTTTCCTCAACACCCATTCAAGTTTTATCACAAAATTCTTGTGTATTATGTTTTGTAGTTATGAAGAAATACTAGGGAATCCACCACCATGCAATGAGAGGAACATTGGCAATTTTGTCATTAGCTCCTCGCCCTTTTCAAAATAATTTTTACCTAAAAGAAGAAATGCTTATTTGGGCATTATAATAAGGGCAAAGGATTCTTTGTAATTATGTTTTATTTATTCAAATTTTGAAGTATCCCTGTGATTGCAGTGAAGAATCCAGTATCATATTGTGGAGTGGTCAAGATCCACCAGTGTGAAGCATCAGGCTTTGACCTTTGTTCTGGAAGACGATCTCAAAGGTAACATTCTTTACATAACATAGATTTTTTTTTTCAACAACTTGCAGGATGAAATTCATTATATAGAAATATAATGGTCTTTAGAAACATGGGGAACTGAGTAAAATACTCATTTTGTGTATTGTAGGGGTTATGTATTTCTCCTGAAAATTGTGCAATGACATAATCTTAGATTTTATGTCCTCCTTAGACAAAATTTTAGAATTCCTGATATTTAACTCAGTAACTTGAAAAGAGCTGTCCATATTTATAAACATAACATTTGACTTAGCACTTTACCCAAGAATTTATTCAACAAATACTTAGAAGTTACTTGGAATATTGCCTATAGTAGCAGAAGATCGGTGATATATTGAGTATCAGTCAGGGCTTAGTTTTACAAGAGTATTACACTATATATTTTGTAATCTATAGTATATAGAATTAGAAAAACCAAAAAACAGTAGAGGAGGTGTTGCCATTCATGTAAAATAGATAATGAGTTGAGGGCAAGAAAATACATATATATATATTTGCTTACATAGACACAGAATTTCTGAAGGGCTTATTAAGTACTGACAGTTTGGTGGCCTGGGCTAGTGGTTGAAAATGAGACTTTTCATTGCATAAGCTCTAATGTGTACTTTTTGAATTTCAAGATGTATTGTTTATTTTCCTATTTCAAAAATTAAATGTGTTTTTAAAAAGAGACCTTATATATAGTAATGGGAACTCTCATGGTTTCCTTCCCAACTTGACTTGATCACATCTATTCTTGTACCAATATATATATCTAGCTCTTAAGGGAATGGAACATAATAGGCATGAGGATCAAGAAATCAAGGCCAACCTGGTCTACATAACAAGTTCAAGAACAGCTTGGACTATATGAGACCTTGTCTTAAAACAAACAAACATGTGTCCTTTAAAAAAAACAGACAAACAAATATGGTGCATATGGTGACTCTGGTAAAATTTTTCCCCTAGAAATGCTTCTTGGTATACTTCTGGCTTTTTCTTGTGGTGCTGGGTATTGAGTCTGTCTGGGGCTTTCCTTGTACAAGATACATACTGAACTATACCTCTAGTTTTGAATTGCATGTGTGTAAACTAGAGGACAACAGGTGTGGCAAATATTAGCTTATAGGTCTTTTGTGTGAGTATAAGTTTTCAGTTCCTTTTGGATAAATACATGGAAATGGAATTGCTGATCTTTCTCTGACAGAAGTGGACCAACTGTCCTCTAAAGTGGTTCTACCAATTTGTATTCCAGTAAGCCATGAAAGTGAAATATGTGTTGAAGTTCATTTTCCCACATATGTGATATTTTATTACACCATTTATTTATTAAATTGCCTTTGCATCTGTGCATCTGTTCCTGAACTGCTGTGCTCCACGAATCTGTGTGTCTTAACCATTTTTCCATTAATTATACTACCTTTTTTTGCAGTGCTGAGGGCAGATATCATTACCTAAAGTATGCTGGGCAAGTGCTCTACTGCTGAGCCTCATCCCCAGCCATGATACACTATGTTAACACACTTTCTTGAGTACTATAGTTTTGTAGTGAGTATTGAAATAAGTAATATTAGTATTCTGACATTTTTCTTCTCCAAAGAATTGTAGTGAAAAGGGAACACTTAACTTGTCCCCATCTCTCATCAATAATAACACTAGCTGTAGAATTTTGGTTTTGTTTTATAATTATGTCTTTTTGTGTAGAAAGCAATTTTTCTGTGCTTTATGTATGTAATTTCTCAGCCATTTTTTTTTTATTTTTCGAGACAGGGTTTCTCTGTAAATTTGGAGCCTGTCCTGAAACTCACGCTGTAGACCAGGCTGGCCTTGAACTCACAGAGATCAGCCTGCCTCTACCCCTGCGCCCAGTGCTGGGATTAAAGGTGTGTGCCACCACTGCGCCTGGCTTTCAGCCATTATTTTTTAAAATAAGTCTATGTATTTTGCTTTTTTTGTTTGTCTAGGATTCCAATTCCAAGTTTGTTGTACTGTTGGTGGCTCACAGTTCTTGAATATTGTATGCTGTTTTTCTTTTTTATGTTTATTTTTGCCTGCATGTATGTCTGCACCACATGTCTGCAGTATCTGTGAAGGCCAGAAGAGGGTGTCAGGTCCCCTGGAATTGGAATTACAGATGGTTGTGAGCCAGCATGTTGGTTCTCTGTCCTTTGCAAGAGCAGCAAATGGGTTAAACCACTGAGCCATCACTCCAACCCCTTCATGCTGGTTTTTTTCTTCCTTTTTACCCTTTTGTTTAATTTTTGTGGTCTTTGAACCACTGAGTCATTACTCCAGCCCTTGTGTGCTAGTTCTTTTTTTCTCCTTTGTCCTCTTTTGTTTTAATTTTTAATGGCCTGATCAATAAACATGACCTTCGAGATCATTGATAATTTTCTTGGCTGCATCAAATCTACTGTTGAGCCCACTGGGTTGTTGTTGTTTAAACTTTAGTATTTCTAGTAAATATACTTTAGTATATTTACTTAGTATATATTATACTTAGTATTTCTAGTAAATATACTTTTTCTCGTACTTTTTCTCTATTTCTTTGCTGAAGTTGTCTATCTGGGCTTCCATATTATCTACTTTATTCATTAGACGTTTTAACAAATCATAATTATTTTATGTTTCAGTTTTTTATAGTCCCAACATCTGTACTACTATGTTTGGAGCCAGTGACTCCTTTGTAACTTGGGGTATTTTCTTACCTTTTGAACATCCTGAAAACTACACATGGGCAAGAGATTCTGATAAATTTTTAGTAGTTGGAAAGCTCTGATTCTTTTTCTAGGTCTTTAGTGAGGAGTTGGCCTGTTCCGTGTTTTTTGTTGGCCTGGGTTGTGTAGGTGGAAGGCAGGGTAAGGACACCAGAGAGTTCCTATTCCTCTAGTGATATTATTTTTAGTGTTTACTTTATGTGGATGAGTGTTTTGCCTAAAAGTGTGTGTGCTATCTTATGTGCTTGGTGCTTGTAGAGGTTGGATTTCCCTCAAACTGGAGTTGAACATGTTTGTGAACCACCATGTGGTTCCTGGGAACTGAACCTGGGTCCTTTGTAAGAGCAGCCAGTGCTCTTAACTGCTGAGCCATCTTTCTAACCACCATGATAACTTCATTTTTACAGTACTTGATTTGGGTTGTCATTGTGATGCTTTCCAAAAGTAGGTTTTTATAGTTTTTCTAATTGTATCCCACTGTTACTAGTTAGATGGTATGTCAGGTGTGACTGTTTGAGGAGAAGGTGTTCTCTAATTATCTGATTGGTCAGGTTCTAGTGAACCTGGGTCTTGAGTGTGTTTCTAGCAAGGTTACCTGTTCATTCTTCTTGTGTAGGGCTTCCTTCTCTTTGCTCCTACCCCTTACCACACCCCATTTGGTAACTAATGTTCTCCTCCCTGAGGATTTATCCCTTTCCTCTGTATTAAATATTAGAGAGCATGGTCTGGGTGAGTTTCACGGTGGACTGTTGCAGTCAGCCAGCCAAGTACCACTACAGGAGCTTTCTCTTAGATTTTCCCTTGTCTTCACCATGAAAGTCTGGTGAGATTCCTGTAGGAAAAGCTTTTTAAAGGGGTAGAAACTACTCTGTGGAACACAGGAGTTTCACACTATGGCTAATCATAGAATTGTTGATTCAAAATTCTTACAGGCTTATGTGCCCAAACCTGTATCTCTGTAGGTTCCTGGTCTCTTTGGATATGAGAGTGGTAATTTGTTCTGCAACTTCACTTCCCTGCCAGATTTCCCTTCAGCTTGGCAATCTTTTTTATTTTAAGAGTAGGATGATGGCCTCTGAAAGATTTACATATATGAGCAGACATGTGATCCCTTAAAATAAGTTGCCTACTACAAGACATCACATATCTAGAAAGTCAGTACATACCTCTTTCTTTATATATCTTTTACTTAGCCCATTGAAATTTATGATTAGGGAGCATGGAGTAATTGTTGTTTAGATTCTGCCTATTTTAGGCTTTAAAAACCTCTGTACCACTGGCAGTGTGCTGTCTGCTTCCTTTCTAAATTCTATGCCTTTTAGTTCCTGAGCAAATCTTTAACAATTTAGTAACTGTTTCATTAGAAATTAGAGCAAGATTTAGCCTATCTAGATGTAATTGTTTCATTAGAAATTAGAGCTAGATTTAGTCTATCTAGTAGAGATTTTATTAATGACCATGTGTTTGTCACTTCGTCCACATTGCCAGAGCCAGTTTAGTAAACACTGGTTGGTTGCACCTTGTGTTATGAACAAGACAGTAAATTTTGAGTCTAATACAATACAGGCCCATCCTGGTAAGTAAAGTAAAGGGTCCCCAAGGGCAATAAAAATTCCATCATAGGAAGGATATTATAATTTCTAAAATGTCTACATTCTAATCTATTTTAATAATAAATCCTATTGTAGTGGTAGGTAGAATTCTAGTAAATGTATATAGAAGATAGGAGTACAGCAATTAGTACTAACCAAAAAGATGACGTGTCTTTAAAAATTATAAAGCTAAATGGAAATTCTGAGGGTTGTATTGAATTCCTATGGATTTTAACTTGTATACTTTCATGTAACCACCACCTCAATCTAAGTACAGAAGGGTTCCTTTACCCCAGAAAATTCTTTTATACTAGCTTAATCACAGAATCTTCCTACTTTAATATCTGGATGCCATTAATTCGTATTCCATTATAATTTTTTTGTTTTAATATATAAAATGGATGCCATCTTATGAATCTTGGTTTTGTACACAACGTAGTGCTTTTGAGAACTCACATAAAAATTGTTATATTAATATTTTGTTTCCTTTGTATTGCTGCATAGAATAGACCATGGTATAGATATATCACAATTTGTTTAGTTGTTCAACATGGAAGGGCAGATGAATTATTTTTGAGTTTTGGTGATTATGTGTAGTAATCATGTACACAAATACATGTAAGTATTTGTGTGCATGTAAGTTTGTATTTTTCTAGAGTAATTCCTGGGAATGAGATTGTTAGAATTATACTAT